TAGTAACTTTTGGCGGGAAGATTGCTGGCTGCCAACAACATTTGGCACTATTCTTCCTTAAGCAAATGTGAAATTAAGGCTATAAATTAATCATAACTCAGAGAGATCCAAACAGTAAAGAAGTGAGAAAGAAGAAAATTCCCGTTACATTTTTTGCGGAGCAAACTGTAACTGCTCCGGAAGAGATAAAAACGGACCCAGCAGTTCCAGAAGATTCAGATGATGATATCATAAGAGCACCTGTAAGTATATCTTTTTTAGAAAAATGACGTATTTTGCTTCTTTAAGTCTGGGGTGTTGTTGTGCTAAGCACAATTTTTAGAAAGCGCATATAAGAAGAAAGTCAAGAGGCTTTGTTGAGGACGATGTTGGATACACTCAAAAATCGGTAAAAAGCTAAAATACTCGTGTTGCAATCAAGCTTAAGAAAGGTAATACGTAGTTGTTGAGCAGGAGCAAGCAGTTCCTATGAGAGCAGTGAAGGCCAATGTCGGTCCAGGTCAAGTGGAAGAGAAATCAGTCAGCGGAGAAGAAGCATCACGCAGTCTGTCAGGTATAGGTTCAATGTCTCGTTTCTAGACTAGACATTGTTCTCAATTCTGAAAGGTGCAATGAGAATATGATCAAACAGCTATAAAAATATTGTCTAGAGACAGGTACACTCGAAAAAAATGGATGATGACCTCATGTTATGCTCGACTGCGCACTGTTCTGTGGACACAACCTTGATTTTGCTCCAGGCCTCGCCAGAGGGTCTCCGGTTGAACCTTACAAGAACGAATACTCTCTTATCCAGCAAATCACGAAGCCCCCTTCGTAACCTGTACAAAAGCGTGCAAGCAGTGCAAGTACTGCAGTGCTGTTTACTTGGAGCGCGTTTTATTCATCAAAGTAAAACTATTCAGAGCCCTACTAAGGAAGAGAGGAGGGCTTCAATCTGGTTATTGTGCTATAAGTTGGATCAAGGGGTGCACAAAAAGTGTTTGATATAAGGGAAGTAAAATTATGAGAAACAAAAAGTGTTTGCTAATCGGAGGCCTGAGGTCTCCCTTAGGTCTTCTCTCCGCCGGAGACCTAAAT